TTTTGGGCTCTAGGCACTTTAGATTTGATTGCTAAGCCTAGGTTTGTGATGGCTTGTTGGGGTGTGTGGTGCAGTAGGAATGAGAGTGTTTGGAGGGGTGCAGGTTTTGATTTATCTACTATGCTGCATAGGTCTATGGCGTTTCTGGAATGTTGGAGAGATGCTAATGAAAAACTTCTGGATGGTGCTGGCCACAGAAACACACTTGCCGTGACCACATGGTCAAGACCAGCGCGGGGAAGGCTCAAGCTTAATACTGATGCTGCGTTAAGGGAGGCGGATAATGCTATGGGGTTCGGATGGGTCTTGCGGGATGATGGTGGTAATTTCCTTGCTGCTAAGAATGTCAGAGTACCCGGGCTGTATACGGTTAGGGAGGCGGAGGTGCTTTCTATACGGGAGGCGTTGAGTTGGCTGAAGGGTACTGGTCTGGGTGCTGTAGATGTGGAAACAGATTGTATGATTGTTTTTAATGCTTTGACTTCGGATTCTTTTGTTTCTGTTTTTGGCTACTTAGTTGATGATGTAAAGAGCTTGGCATATGAGATTGAGGATGTGCGGTTCTGTCATGTTAAGCGATCTGCGAATTGTGCTGCTCACACTGTTGCTGGGGAGGCCTTTTCTGTGTCAGGTTGCGGAGAGTGGTGGGATGACCCACCTGCTTTCCTTGTTGACATTCTTGATTCTGATTTAATGAATTAATCTTTCTCTTTCAAAAAAAAAAAACAAAACTATCTACTTCACTATTTGATTTGACATCATCACAAGATTCAAATAATTATAACAAAGCTAACCTTATTTGAAAAGCTTAAAATCTAATAGATTTGACACTTTTTATTCAACCATCCCAACAAGTATTGCATAAAGATTTCAGTATTTCACCGTTAAGTTTGAAACATTATCAACTAACACTTTCCATCTTTTAGGAGAACTTGAAAATAAAACATACATGTGTTGTATTACTCCAAAAAATGAAATTGTTTTAGTACAAGAATGTGTCATATCACTAACAGTAGAGGTTTAAAACGGGCAAACTTGAATCGGCTCGGTCTAGCCCACCATATGCCCATTTATTTTTGGACCGAGTCGTGCCGGTCTGATTAGATTTTGAGTCGGGCTTGATTTGGTCCAAAAAAAAAAAAAAATTAAAGTTCAATTTGGTCCATGGCCTGAAAATTTAAAAAATTAAAAAGTATATATCAATTCATTTAAGTTATATTTTCTTTTCAAATTAGTTTTACATGTTACATATTTATTTTCAAATATTTAACTTAAGAATTATTACAAGAAAATTATGAAATGAATAATCAATAATGTAATAAATTAATAAAGATAAGTTTACATATTGCAACTACGAGTAACTTTTCAATTTGAAACAAATCAAAATATTTTAAGATTGTAATTACTAATTAATTAGTATGGTACTTAAATAGTAAATACGTAATAATTTAATAGGCATAAATTCAATTTCATAATCTCTAATGTTATAATCCCATGTGCCATTAGTCTTTTATTTAAATTAGTATTTGTCCCGTGCGATGCACGGAAAATATGTTATAAAAATATACCCTATATGAGGTTTATTCATATATAAAATTTTTGTTATTTAATAATTATTATGTGTGAATTCTTATGATAAAATTATGAACATAAATATATTTACAATTAAAATAATATTTAAGCCGTGTGATTAATACAAATCTTAAACTATATTAAAAATTTAGTACATAGTATTTAATATTACAAATTTTTAAGAACTTAGTAAACTACAATAGTAATTGAATTACAATTTTAGAGTCACCACGGATCAAAATTTTTAGACCTTTGAGATTTCTAACTCTAGATGTAGCAACGTACAATTGACCTTTAAAGACCAAAATCACAATCTTAGTTCGAACATTGATTTTTTCTTCCAAATACTATCAAATTTAAGTGTGTAATCAATAAAAGATGATAACTAATAATTCGAGAATATAATCTTAATGTTACTAAGCCTACTTCATGTCAATTAAGTTGGAGAGTGTTGTTGGATAGTATCCGATGAATCCACGAATAACGCATCTTTGTCTCCGTAGTCCTCAATATGCACATCAACAATCTTAAATATTAGGCCGCCTAGCTATGCCATATATTATTTTCAAACTTATGAACTTTGGGGTTGCATGAAATAAAAAGTATATTTTAAATTACTAAGGGTACATTATATATGTATGTAAGGTACTTTCAATATAAAAAATAATGTATTTTTAATATATTAAAAATGTATTTGATATTCATGATCCCTACAATTATGTGGACCATCGTTCACACAATAATTTGCCAGTAGAAATTAAAATATAAATAAATAAATAAATAAATAAATAAATAAATAAATATATATATATATATATATATATATATATATATATATATATATATATATATATATTAGAAACTGTCAGTGGAAATTATTATCATTATTATTATTATTGCAATTATTATTATTATTATTATTATTATTATTATTATTATTATTGTTATTGTTATTATAATTAACAATATTATTATGGTCTTGTGAAAATTAAATGTTGATGATCACCATTTAATTTTCACAAGACCATATGGCTTTATTATATATAGGATTATATATGCATATTATATATTTTAGAAAATGTATGGGCCAACATGCCAAACTGTGCCAGCCCGGTGCATGTGCTTAAAAATAAAGCCCGACCCTATCCGTAGTAGAATATAGGCTAGTCATAGTCCGCCCATTGTAGCAAATGGATCGGGCTAGCTCATCTGTATATGTTTGACACCTCTAATTAACAGTAAGATTAAGATTATGACAAACACATGGCATATACAACGCTCTCGGATTTATTTAAAGTAATTATTTTTGAACGCTCTTGGTGTTGTCCTTTTATATTAGAACCACTATCATAACCTTAACCCCTCACATCATCAATTTTAAGGTCCGTACTACTAAACACATTTGTTCTTGATGACTCACATCTGGAGTACAACCAAGAATTATAGAAAAATATGTAGCCTCTTTAATAATGTTTGTGATAGAACTTTTAACACTTTGGGTCAAAATAAAAATGAACTCATTTTGAATTTGTGACCAAGATAATGATGTTAATTTCATGATTTTGAATACGTCTAATATTATTTTGCATTATTACATCAAATTCTGCAATCATCTCAATCAACCCCAAAAAATTGTAATTATTATCATAATAAAATTTTTCATTAGACCTCGAAAAGCCAAATTATGTTTTGCATAGCAAGACATTTTACAACTAAAACTATGCATAGTCAAAATTGTTTCCAATGTTCTTTTTCTTTTAAAATTTCATATTGTAAATCTTTATCAATAATTTGATTATTACTTAAGCCATGTTTGGTAAAATAGTTAGCTTATCAGTCAATTTTGGCTTATTTAACCACTATTAATTGTTTGACTTGGTTAAAAAATCAATATAAGTATTTGATTAATTAGCTTTTTGTAACTCCAAAATGCTAAAATTCAAAAAGATGCTTAAAGCAACTTTTTCAATTAGCTTTTTGAGAAAAAAAATTATGTCAAATAGCTATCAGCTAACAACTAATTTATCAAACACATTTATCAACTAGTTATACCCTCTAATTAACACAATCAGCTAACAACTAACAACCATTTACTAAACAGGGCCTTAATCTTATTTTTAGGTCATTCTAATTTGTCATATTAGTCATATGTTCAATGTTATTCTCATGTTGTTTGAGTATCTCACTAGGATGCTTCCAATCCGTAAATCCTTCATTTGCTAAAGCACTTGTATTATTATTATTATTATTATTATTATTATTATTATTATTATTATTAAATTAACTTCACTAGTTTATCCATCACTCAACTTTTTCATCTAGTATAATAAGCATTTAAAAATGCCTAGATGTATTATCTAAAGAAAACACAATATTTAATTCTCTTAAAGATCCCTTTTCAACCAAATATCTCTTGATTTATTATTCAAGATTAGACCAATTTCTAGGATCATAAATATCAAAATAAGGGACAAATTATTTATCATTATCAACCAATATATTTTCAACATTGTGGTCATTTGATAGATTACCATGTTCACTCAAAGGACTATTATTTGGTGTATTATCATGTTCAGTCAAATTACACATATCCTCATTAATATAATCTTGATTATTCAAAGTTTCATTAGATTGACCAAAATTATCTACACTTAGGATGTGTTTGGTTCATGAGTTTACATACTAGAAATGAGAATCAAAATCATAATTAGTGGTTGGTTGACAACTTATTAAAAGACAACTATGAGATTTGATTACCTCTTCAATTAAAAATTCATCCCCTTATTAAAAAAAGTTTCATTCCGTCTTATTGGTAATATAATTTTTAAGTTTGGTTTAATGTTCTTAGATTTTTTTATTTTATTTTATTTTGTTCATATTGATGCTTTGAATATCATTATATTAAGATCAATTGCTTTGATTTTTATTTTGTATTAAACTTTTATTCTCGGGTCATACATAACCAAACATCAATATTTGATAATCATTCCAATTTCATCCTACTACCAAACATACATGCAAAATACCTTTACCAAAACTCATACCATTACCAAGTATTTGATTCCCATTGCGATTCCGATTCCAATTTTCATGTGCGAACCAAACACACCCTTAGTCTCAATCGAGTCAGGGTTCTTTCTCAGCCAAATGTGCCTATAATACTATTATAGGGAACCTGGAGAAGGAGTAGGATGTGGAAGCTAAAATTCATTGAAAGAGTCTTAAGTGTTCATCTGGATTATCGCAAAGGATAGCCTCCTCACAAACTTGGAACGAGTAAAGAGTGGGTGGCGAATGAGAGGAGCTGCCTGAGATGTAAAGAAGGGATGAGACCATGCCACATATATATGTCCATATGTCCCATGAGTGCTATTTATATAAATAAATAAATTATATAATAAAAAAAAACATTATTAAAGAAAATAAGCAAAAAAGAATTTCCAATTTGACCAATAAATATTAAACATGATAATGCAAGACTTGATGTTTCATTTCCAATACAGAATTGAGCCAGTTCCTTGATCACTCTACCGAATCACATATGGCTACAATTCAGTGCTGAGATACATCAAAATTGCAGCATGACAAGGGATATTCTTCCCAGCTACATCCTCTCTTCAACAGTTCAACTAAAGGCATTCAATGATTCAAATTCAGCGCTGCATACCCTGACATTAGCACTTTTTTTTTTACAACAAAGGAAGGGAGGACCCCGGGAACAAAAACAACAACATTTCATGTTTATCATCAACACATAAGAAACACACAGCTTTGCAGTCTTGCCACTGTGAGGAACACATTTACACATGTATACAAATAACGCACAATATTGTTTTGTTTTGTTTTTCTCCTATCGTCAAGTGCTTACCAATTTGGAATAAAAGATATCACATGTACACGTTCAACCATTACACATCATCTGCATGTGGGTGATCAGAAGAGTTAATTAATAGCTTCTTTCTTACCGCTTCAGCATCAGCATCAGCATCAGCATCATCAGAAGTAACCGTCTTTCTGGAAGGATAGAGCACATAATGTTGCACAATGAACAGAATGTCAAAAAATACCGATACCTGTAATGTGCATTTGGAAAAAAATATCAAGGATCAAGGGCTTGCAATAAAATGTAGCATTCGAGGTTTTAAAATTGTGGAATCAACTAACTCGATATATAAATGATTAGTTCAGTAAAAAACTTAGCTAAAAGAGAGCATTCATACCAGAGACAATAAAGTCTTTCCTATATTTCCATAGAAATTCACCCAAGAATCTGAAAAGAAAAGAAAGAAAGAGGTGATTACGACATTCCCCAGTCTCCACCTAAAGCATATATTAATAACATTAATAGTTTAAAATTGGGAACATAAGACATACTTTGATCTATAGACTGCACAGCCATCTGCCCATAATTTGTAAGACCTCCTAGTAAATCAAGTAAAATGTTGCCAATACTCCATCCAACAGTGCTCTTTCGTTGAAAATTCATGACTGCCTAGAGATTTATAAAAGGTAAAACACACAAATAGTTTATTAGTGCAAAGACTACATACATACAAAGCAGTTGGTTCAATTGAGTGTTGCTATAACCTGGGGAATGTACTTGATGACTGTCATGGCAACCTGCAAGATGCTGTAGATACAGTTCCAATTTAAACACAAACTCATCAGCACTCATAAAATACATCCTTCTTGTCTATTAAAATATAATGATAACAGAAAAAGTAAAGATCCTAATACAAGGATTTCCCTTCAAATGCATCCAAAGAAAAGGTACCTGTCTCCAGAAACAAGAAAGCCCCTCACCTAAGAAATTCTAGAATAGTAATGGAGAAAGCACTCATGTTCTGATGTTATGCATCTTGCTCTACAATATCCAGAAAGTCACTATAGAGTCACCTTAAGTTTGAACCCCAAACCTAAGGGCCCCTCAACGCCCTGCCCTGGGTTGGATGAGAGGATGTAAATCGTGAGATATGCCTCAGCGACACAGGGTCTGAGTGCTTGCTTTTTGCCCAAAGGCTGAGAGCCTCTCCCAATGAGGATTCAAACCCGGGTATTTGCTAGGTCACTACACCCACACTCAACCATTCGACCACTAAGTTATGCCCCGGGGGCCACTATAGAGTCACCTTGTTTTGCATACTGATGATACTCATGTGTAAGCATGCAAACATATATATAGATAATTACAGAGATTGAAAGTACTGTATGTCATGAGAAAAGTCGCCCCCCGCCCACCCATTCATTAAATCATTACACCAATCAGTGACTTCTTTTACGGAAGGAAATGAATGTCAAGCAGTACTTTTGGTATGAAGCAGAGGTTTCCTTACTTGAAGCAAGACACCAGCCATAACCAACTATGTTTGGGTATAGCAATGAACACACAAACAGCAATGGCCAACCATGCAACCGACACAATTGCAGTGCAACTTTTTGAGACCTTCTGGTTTCCCCTCTGTAAATTGACAACCCACAAAAATATTTACACAATTGTACTTACCAACTCTACAACAGCTCAATTTAAACACACAAATAATCTGAAATCTAACTTCAGAAGGTATCAAATATATGATCTAGGTTAGAATATCTCAACCAAAGTTATTATACTAAAATATCAAACAAATACTAACATCATAGATCACGATTTGATACAAGGTTATTGCCGTCAAAAGAACAGCATGTACAGAGAAAGCAACATCGTTAGCAGCTACAGGTATCATCTGCATATAAGAAATCCCCAAATTATCAATCCAATATCTTAGTATAGAAGGAGAAATGACTCATACGCTGACAAAAATAATTAATTACGCAGAAATTACAAAAAAAAATAAAAAGGTAACCTCATCAAGGCCATATTTCTGACGGTACTGCCTCTGAACAGCAGAGCCGAAGAAGAGTGAAGCGTTGTAGATGAGATAGGAGGTGTGCTTGGTCAAATTCATCACCACGAAATCGAAATTCAATCCTATCACACTGCGCCAAAACCTTTTCTAATTAAGAAGAAGAAGAAGAAGAAGAAGAAGAAGAAGAAGAAGAAGGAGAAGAAGAAGAAGAAAGTGAAAGAGAGAGGGAGAGAAATTGGGAAACCTTTTCCGGCGAAAGTTGAGGATGACCTGAGGATAGAAACTGATAGACCACGACACAAACGCAACCCATCCCAATACGTTGTACAGAACCTCCAGCGGAGTTGAGTTCCAAGACGCCATTACAGAAAACCTTTGAACCGAAATTGACAAAAAGAAATATTTTCAATTCAATTTCGGAATCTCACCTTCTTGGTTGCCTGCGCGGTGAACGTTTATATATAGTATGGGCGCTCATGCGCTATCCTTAAGACCGCAATACGGAATATCGGACTTCAACTAACCCGCATTTTTAGGATGGGGGATAAAGTGATAAATTTTTTTTGGTTCTGTAGCTTTATTAATTAATTTCTTAAAAGGGACACTCATAGTCATAATATTCATGCCATATCAATTATCAGCATCCTACCCAGAAGATAAGAACGGTTTGATAGCATTGCTAATCTGGACATGAATCTGGTCGAGTTAACGTCCACATTCGATTCGCTTTCTCACCTTGCAATGTGAATCTGTGTTGAAAATACACAAATGTTCACAATTTTGTAAAATGTAAATTGTGAACATTTAGTATGTAAATTGTAAACATTAAGTATATAAATTGTGTATGTAAATTGTGAACATTCAATATATAAATTGTGAACATTCAGTATGTGAATTGTGTATTTTGCAAGGTGGACTCGGGTCCATGGTATAACTATTGATATCATGAACATGATTGACCTTGCAAGATGGATTATTGACATAAGATTTATTTTGGTATATTAAATGTTCATTTAATGTACTACAAATATACTACCAAAAAAAAAAAAAATTAACTTTCAATACATTAAAAATAAAAATTCAATATACTAAAAATAAACTTAATATTTATTTGTAGTTCACATTGCAATGTCGATCATGGTCCATAGTATAATTTGCCATTAATTAGGACTTTAGGAGTATAAACCAATTGTTATATTATCGAGCTATGGTCCATCTTGCATGGTGGAGGTTAGGAACATTTGTAATTTAGATTTTGATGATATCAAAAGTTAGGAATTTTAGTCCTCTATTTATTTTGTTGTTTAGACTTAGTTATATCCGCTAAAATTCGAATAGTAACTCGAAAAGTCACATTTCAAAAAGTCAAAATAATTCCGAATGATAACTCAAAAGGTTAGTCTCAACAAAGTTCGAATGGTTATCTTTCGAAAGAGCTTGAAAATGAAGACCTCTAAGAGTTGAAGATTGAAGAGTCCAAGATGAAGATTCGAAGAGTAGAAGACTACAAGACCAAAAGGTTGTAAAGGTCGAATGGTGGAAGGGCCTACATTTCGATGTAAAAGGTGGAACGAATGGTAAGGACAACCATTCCTATTCGAGAGGTAGTAGAGTGTTAAGGTTCGAAACGTTAACTTGAATAGTGACAGTTAACCATTCGAAAAGAATTGCTCAAGATATTCTCAGAGTCAACAATTCTAAACCTTAAAAACACATACTAGTGAATGTGACCAAGACAAAGAGAGTCCTAGGTTCACATCTCAATGAAGATTTTCCTTAAAAAGCCAAGACATTTTGTATAGAACAAAAAAGATATGTTTAGCGCAAAATAAATCTTAAACGGCTAGAAAATTTGACAAGTCTACCTAACTTCGGATTACCCATTGGTCAATAGACGTTTGAAATGAGTTCCCCTCCCACAGACACACTTCTAAAACGCCTATAAATACCCTCTTAAAAGACCGAAGAAGGTGTTGGTCTTTCAAGTGAAAATTATTAAGTGTTTAAAGCATTCAAAAGCTCAATATTATGTGACCATTTTAGAGAGATAATCAATTAAGTTCATCTTTCAAAGTCAAGCTTTCTTGTTGGACATAGAAGAATCAATTTTCTTCAAAACATGTATCTCTACTCGGTAGAAGTAGAAAAAGGTAGAGTAAACTCGGTTGAGTTGAAAAACTTGTGGAGTTCAAGGTCGACTTTGTGTTCAAGGCTCGAACGTCCATTTTGTACTAACGGATTAGTGCAAATCTCCTTTGGAGTTTAAAGGAGAAGAGTGGAGTAGGCTAAGTTGGCCAAACCACACACACACACACACTCTCTCTCTCTCTCTCCCTCCTTTCCCCAAAACGATGCTCAGATTATGTATTTGTGGTTAACATATTATATGGAGTATATTTTCAGTTAATAAATTATTTACATATTACAATTAACATATTATGTACATGTAAGTAACATATTCCCTATTACATATCTACAGTTAATACATTATGTATTTATTACAATTAACATATTTTAGAACATTATATGTACATAATATGCTAATTGAAGGTACATAATATATATGTTAATTGCAAATATATAATCTGAATATCATTTGTACCATGTTCACAATGTAAGATGGATCATTGTCCATGACATAATTTGCTAGTATGAAGACAATTACGCCTGTTTGACTCGCTAAAAATAATTTATGAGAAGGTATTGAATTTAAATTTCATAAAAAAAAAAAAACTTAGAATATTAATTTTATTATTTGGTTGGTAAAAAATATGTTGTTGAAAACAATTAGTGTAAAGACTCAAATGACCCTACATAATAAAGATATGTGATGGTAATAAAGAAATTCATCATATTGTATTTATTTTTTCAAAAGGTGTAAAAAATAAAATATCAACGGAGAATAATAAGGATATTGTATTTATTTTTTCAAAAGGTGTAAAAAATAAAATATCAACGGAGAATAATAAGGATTTTATTTTTTTTAAATGTGAGGAATTCATTTCATTGGAATAAATTCTCCATCAACCAACAAACACATTAGGGAATCTAAACCCTTTTTAAAAATCATATTAAGGTTAATGAGAAAAAAAAAAAATTCCTCTGAATTATATATTCATTCTTTAAATTATTTGTGCATTCATATTCACTCACTCAATTATCACTAAAGGCGCGCAATATTTTACTCTTGTACCGTTAACTCTTTTCCAAATCCGTTAAAATGGGCAAATTATATTATGCACCGCGGTGCATAATTGATTATACATCGCGCGTTTTTTTTTAAATGAAAATAAACAGTGTTAGTTTCTGCCGTTTCGCACCCTTTTGCAAAAAGTAACTCTGTTATTCAGTGTCATTTTGTATACACTGCAGTTTCAGTTTAACACAACTACAGTATCATTTCGATATAACTATAGTTTCATTCGATATTTATAGACTCAAATATGTGAAAATGTTATTTAATTTTATTTTATATACACTATAGTTTCATTAAGACACAACTACATGATCATTTTAATATAATTACAGCTTCATTGTACAATATACACTCAAATATGTGAAATGTTATTCAGTTTCATTTTATATACAGTGCAGTTTCATTTCACTATAACTACAGTATCATTTTGATATAACTGCAGTGTCGGTTTAGATATACTATAATGTCAGTTGGTGTTTAATACACCAAACAAGCGGACTCCGTTAACTCTAACGGCGGACCGTTTCTTTACTTAAAGAAACGGCGCCGTTTTTTACCGCGATGCACGTGCACCGCGGTCTATAATATAACGGCTGGTTAAAATGATTGTAAAATTAAAATTTCAAATTTGAATATTGACAACTTGATGGTATTAAATGGGCTGATGATATTAATTTTTGTTCTTTAATTGAAGCAAACTTGGAGTGTAATTAAGCCAGCTGCATATTTGACTGGAATATATCTTCAATTAATTAGCATTTTAATTAAGCTATTTAAGTCTAAGAAATCAATCAATCAATTAATTAATGAGGGCTATATCATTTGCCTAATTATTAATTAATACAATATTTTATTAAGCAAGGTGGCTTAAGAGTTAATTAAGTTGGCCAAGTGATCATGTGTTCGCAAATTATGCCGTGCAACCATGGTGCACACGGTTGCAAAATGGTGTTGTTTTGATTAAAAATTACGCGTTCAACTTTTTTTTTTTAAATATTTTTGGTTGTCGTTAATAGTGTTATGCTGTGCATAATTTGAAATATATATCTAGAATAAATGAACTATATATCCAAAATGAATTAACTATATATGCAGAATGAATGAATTATATATTCAGAATCGATAAGGTCAATTATGAATGTGTAATTATTAATTTTGGAATGTACTACTGTCAAATTATGAATATATAGTTATGTGATTCTGGATATATAGTTATGTAATTCTGGATATATAGTTATGAAGTTATGGATATATCCTACTGTTTGAATACGAAAGGAAACCGTCTAACGCCGTTAACGGCAATCCGAACAGATTTTTTTTTTAAAAATGGAACGACGTCGTTTTGCAACCGTGTGCACCATGCATGGTGCACATGGTTGCACAGCATAACGATTGTCATGTGTTCTGCAAATAATTCAGGGCCGGATTTTAGGCTGTGCAAGCTGGGCTACCGTACACGGCCCCCAAATTTTAGAGGGCCCCCAAATTTTAGAGGGTCCAATATTTAATTTTTACCTAACTAGTTTTGAAATAAAAACTAAAAGTTTTCAATTAAACTTAAAATGTTTCGTGGAGAAATGGTAGAAACATGTGCTTATATATTGCATTTCAACTTAGAGGTCAGAGGTTTAAAATTTGAGTGCTGCTCCAACCTTAAACATTTCCCTTTTTTTTTTTTAAATCTTTTTTGCATTGCGAGTTGCGCACACTATTATTATTATCGTTATAATTGTAATTTATTCCATAATATGTTTTTTGTTTTTTTTTTTAAAATCCTTTTGCATTGCGAGTTTGCACACACAACAACAACAACAACAACAACAATAATAATAATAATAATAATAATAATAATTATTATTATTATTATTATTATTATTATTATTATTATTATTGTAATTTATTCCATAATATTTTTTTTCGTTTTTTTTTCTCATTTTTTTAATCCTTTTGCATTGCGAATTTGCGCACACTATTATTATTATTATTATTATTATTATTATTATTATTATTATTATTATTATTATTTCATAATATGTTTTTTTGTTTTTTTCTTTGTGCACAACAACATTTTACCACCTTATTAATAGAAAAAAAAATATGATATTGATTTTAAAGATTGTGATTTTGATAGGACATCATTTATTTTAACAGAACGGGACCACAAAAATCTAAAAATCAGTACAAATTCATTTCAAATGAAATTGCATATGATTACTTTTAAGTTACAAGCCTCTAGAAATAAGGTTTCTTGCATGCTCGTGGGGAGAGAAGGTTGTTCTTTAGAGCAGCGGTGTGGTTGCTGAGGTTAATTTGGCATATGTGGCTAGTAATGGTTAGCTTTTGTTATAACTATATCATTATGTGGACATTATTATAACAGTTTGTAACAATTCTTGTATTTATGTCCTCGTTATATCTTTCGTTACGTTTGTACAATATATATAGTTGTGTTGTTGTATAATAGAACACAAATGAATGAATAAGAGTTTTCCCTTTTTCCCTTTTATCTCTATCCTGTTTTTCTTTTTTAACACGTTATAAATTCATGTTTGATGCATGTATTTGTAATAGATAAATCCTCTTTTATATTTAGATCACCACGCGATTGAAAGGAGTTGCATACAATTAATTTAGAAATAAGATAACATCAATAATTCTTTACGTTCAAGCTAAGTCAAATTATTCATTAGAACTCACCAATCGGTAATGCAATCATTAGTTAGAATTTTAGTTTAGAAGAGGTTTTAATTAGAGTACATATTGTTGAGCCTTCCAAAGTATATGGTGGAGCCTTTCAAAGCACATTGTTGAGCCTTCTAGAGCACATTGTTGCGCTTATGAGAGGTGGCAAACTTCTTCTCTTTTTTTTCTGTTTTTTTTTTTTAAAGATAAGTTAATCTTGATTAATAATTACTAATTTGAGTTTAATCTTATTTGTGTTGGGTGATAAGGTTGAAAAATCCCAAAAATAATAATCCTACGAAAAGATTAATATTATATGGGAAAATAGAAAATCTGGGAAGGAAAAGGTGGAGTGTTTGGATATAGGTTTAGCACGAGTTCGAACACGAAGTTCTTTTCCTTAAAACCTTATTTGTTACCTCCCACAAATGCTAGGAGCGTTGTAGCCTAGGTTTCCCAGGATAAAACGTGCTACGATTCCTTGTTTAAGCACCTAAACAAGGAACCCGGCAAACAAAGCAAAGCAGTGAACACAAGTTGGTAAAGAAGAGAGTAGAAGCAGAGTTTTGAGAAGCTGAAAGCTACTGGAATTCCTTCCGTTTTCTGTACTGTATAAAATGCTTCTGCCCTACCTCTCTTTATATAGGGCTGTTGGAAGGGATAACATTCAACATGGCCTTTAATTGGTATTAAACCAATTGTGTAACACCTGTAACGGTCACCTACTAAGTAGGATTAAACTCAGAATTTAAAATTGGAATTAAAACAGTATTAATTCCGTAACAGATGAGTTTAATCTGTACAACAGGCTGAACTTTCGGGTTTCAGACCGTTGGGGTGCAGGTTCACACGAGAGCACACGGACCAGGCAACACGAGAGTACATCTCTCGTGCGCGCTGTGGTGCAACCCGAGAGTGCACTACTCTCGTGGTCACAGATGCACGAGAGTTGTGCTCTCGGTGCACCACAATCGATGAACTACAATTCCAGAATCGATGAACTATAATTCCAGAATCAATGAACTAAAATTCCATAATCTATGAACTAAAATTCCATAATCTATGAACTAAAATTCCATAATCTATGAACTAAAATTCCAGAATGAATGAACAACATAATGTTGTTGCTGGGAATCGAACCAGAAATTTTTTTTTTTAAGGGGAGGCGCGCGTTTTTAATAAAACGACGTCGTTTTTGCATGATGCATACGGATGCACAACATAACTACTCGTGCCAAATAGAATCATATAGGCTTAGACCTATTTAGTTAAATAGGCCTAGGCTTGGCTTATTTACTAAATAAGCTAGGCCAAGTCGTAGGCCCCTTGATAGTGGCCTACTCTCAAGTCGTAGGCCCCTTGATAGTGGCCTACTCTCTTTTCACCCGACAAATTATTGTGTGGACCACGATCCAAAAGGATGTCGTTTTGATGTTTAAAAACCAAAATTTTGTACTCCGTGCACTTATGTGTTAGAATAATGAACCGGGTATGATAATGATTTTATGAGTTAGAATAATGCGCTTTATGTGTTAGAATAATGCACTTTATGTGTTTAGAATGAAATTTATGGGATAAACTAACGTACTTTATGTGTTAGAATGATGTACTTATTTACAACCCGACCCATCTCATGGAGACGGATCAAGTTTCTGCCTATGGTTGATAATGTAATTCAACCTTGAAAATCATTTTGTTGATTATATTGTTGAGTGCATGCAAAATGCGCATCCTGCTAGCCTCCATTAAAATTGCGTAAGTGGTAGCTCTTATATTCCTCTATCTCATGACTCATTCCCAGTTCCCATCACCATTTCCGTGTGTGCGTTTCTCTCTCCCTCTGATCTCTTGTTGGCTAATAACTCTGTTTCCATTTGAGGCTCAGCTCCTGCATTCCATCTCTCATGACGCCTGTAAGTTCCTCAGATTTCCGTCCTCCTCTCCAATATAATTTGCAGATTAGATTAGATTAGGTTATCCATCACGCGTCTTGTAATTAATTAATTGTATTCAATCCTTCATTGCCATTGGATCGGAGATTAATGCGTGTATATATTTTCATAATGACTTGAGATTGAGATCGAATTTCCTGTTTCTCATTCTGATCTGCTTATATCGATCGAGATTTCGATCTGTCTTTGTTATATGAAATGAAAGCCCGGCCCCCATCAAAATCATCCATAATCAACGATGCATTTGATATTTTTGGTAATAAAGAGCATTAGTGGGCGGATATATGCAGCCAGAGAAAGCGCGGCCGTTGCCGAAATTCGGCGAGTGGGATGTGAATAACCCGGCCTCAGCCGATGGATTTACAGTGATATTTGCCAAGGCAAGAGATGAGAAAAAAGGAACCGGAAATCCCGCCGCTTGCCCACCGCCGGCAACAAGGCCCGGTGATCCCCGTGATGACGACCTCCCCACGGTATATATACATATGCATACGATTAATTTTATTCTTTTTCACTCACAACTCTGCTCCGTGGTTCAAAATAACTTTCAATTATTTATGTGTCTGCAATTATATATTCTTTACTTACAATTAATCATATATGTGCATGTAAATAAATTGAAGGCACATATTAACTACAGAGACTTAACATGTTGCAGACACATGTTGTTCAATCGTGTAAACGCTGTAGTTACCTAACATGGTATGTGTTTGTAGTTAATATATTATATGCCAACTAATGATTATTAACTATAAGTGCAAAATACAAAATATGCCACTTAATTTTTGAACCAGAATGCGCAATACAAAAAAAAAAAAAAAAAAACTCTGGTCCATGTTATAACAATTGCCAAAAAAAATTCAGTCCAATCTCTAGTTATTATGAAAAAAAAAAATAGAATTCCTTTGCATTTCAGTCTGAGGTTGGTTTAGGAAAAAAGTTTAGAGCAGGGAGTAATGATAGTAAAGTTGAAACAGTCTTACACAGTTTTAATTTCAATGTTTATTGTTTTAATTGTCTTAACAATATCTCATATATATAAATTTTTAAAATATTTATATAACCTTTTAGTTAGAGCTATAATTAACTATTTAACTGCTCCTAATTTTTTTTTTCAAATGCACCTTAAAATTACTTTCACAAAATTCCCTTAAACTTGACCTTTTTCTATTTTGCTCCAACAAAAGATCAATTATCATTTTTGACTGAAATTGGTTGTTTTTAAAGAGTTAATCTTATTTTGTCTTTTTAATCTTTTTAGCAAGACTCCCAAATCCCAATCTCTAACCTCTAGGCTCTATTTGATAGGTTTCTAGAGCTTATATATATTATTTTAATTAGTTTATAAATAAGTTTTTACTTTATTTGTTAGATAGAGATGAGTTTAAAATAAATTTTATTGTGAAATGTTTTCTCTAATAGAGTTTCAACAAATAAGCTCTTTGTTTGTAACCAATCAATTTTAGTTTAGAATATCCAAAATATCATGCCTTTTACCAAAATTTATATGATAATAATTAATTTAAACTATATTTGTTGGTTTAAAAGACGAGTTGTTATTATTATTATTATTATTATTATTATTATTATTATTATTATTATTATTATTATTAAAATTTTGTGGATAAAGTTTTTATTGGAATTGAGTATATTTATATGTTTGAAAAATTGAAACAATTCTTACACGAGCGTATATTTAATCTTGAGTTATATTATATGCACTCTCAAATTATACTTTCTAAATTTCTCCTTAATATGGCAGGCACTGATTTGATAAATTACTTTTTTTTTTTTTTTTATGTTGGTCCTAATACAAATGTTTATATAAAGATTTTATGTGTAGAAGTAAAAATTGAGAGTAAAAATCGAAATATATATAGCATTTTCCTTTAATTTTTGGATTTGTATGCTAGAAATTCTTATTGATTTATTGGCTACCGACAAAATGATGATTATATATTCCATTGTTTTCCGACAGAAAAGGCGGTTCTGCTGTTTCTGAAACATGGGTAGGAGGTTGTAATTTGTAAAGGATGTGAAAGCAGGGCTGAGGAAATTTTTTTATGTAATTTCCACATTTTAATTTTAAATATTTTTATCTAAAATATAATTAGTAATTGGGTTTATTTATGTCATCAATTACTAATTATTGAATAGTATATTGATTCAATCCCGACGTTAGGTAAAAACCAACTTATTAATTATTATGTAAAAATATCAAAAAATAAGAATGTGTTAATGGTATTATTCTTTACTACTTCTTGTGTCTTATTTTATCTATCATGCTTATTATTCATTGGTAAATTAATTTTTTCTTCTTTGTTTATTTTTTAAGTATTTTTTTACTTATTTTTAAATTTGATTTTTTGTGTTTAATAGTATTTTTAGTGTAGTTTATAAATATATAAATTTTGTATACTAATATTAGATTTAATATTATAAAAAATTAAATTAAAAATAACTTCAATCAAACCTCATTAATCGAATCAGACCCATAAAATGGGATGGAGGGAGTATTATAGTTTTACAGTAAAATATTGTTCTATAAATTATTAAAAAAATATGAAAATAAAATGTATGAATTGTATTATTCTTTACGATTACCATCACAATTATATATTATATTTAATAACATTTTTTTCTTTTTCTTTTTGTTATCACTTATAATAGAGTGAGCAACATAACTTCACCCTAAACTCAAAATAATTTTGATACAACACATAAGGGAAAACTATTAAAGGGCAAATGGGTAGATTGGACTAACATTTGGATGGATAAAAGCAAATTGAAGAAAAAATTAAATGATATTTTAGCTTGTTTAAATTATTTTTGGATTTATTTTAAAAAATATATATTTTTGGATTAGAATAAGTCTGGTGTAAAATCATCATACGTGAGATGCGTTATATTTCACAAGGAATATCTTTACTATTTAAAGTATTACATTAAAAACTTCACCTATGCACAATATCATCTTCAAACCTTATACCCATTTCCTTAAATTTTGTTAAACGGAATGCAAATACGTTAGCCCACTATTGCTAAGAAATCTTTTGATGATCCGGGGGTGGGCGGCGTTGAATATGTTGATTGTATTCCTCGTTCTATTTCTTGTGTTGGCCGTTTAGACATTTTGGAAGTTTAATATATTTCGGTTGGTTGGTTAAAAAAAAAAAAAAAAAAAAAACTTTGTGGAATTGTTGTATCTCTACTATATATAGTAGAAATATGAAGAGTAACAGAGGAACTTATGAAAACCTTGATTAATGATAGCTTTCTGATTAAATCACTTAATTATTTTTCACTATAATTATATTTGAGTGGTAGTTATAGTGAATTCTAGGTTAAATCACGATCAATTTTCACTATAATTATATTAGAGTGGTAGTTATAGTGAATTCCTCCTGGAGATAGGAGTAGAGTGGAGTAAAATGGTTACATCACCTTCGAACCATTATAATTTGTTATGTTGTATTTACTTCATAGCTATTTACTTTATTGCTAGTTATATTTCTCAAAAATTTCTTGACTTTAACAAAATTCATTCTAAGATAAAACACTTTATTTCCGTTGCATAATCAAACACCCTTTTTTTAGCCTTAACTATCACAAGTTAAGAAATCAACATTGCCTCTTGTAGTTGTGTTGAAAAATTAACTTCATTAATTGAACGCTAACTATTGTTTAAAGACTATTTTTGTAAAGAGTTTTTATAAGTTTTTTTTTTTTTTTGAGTTTTTATAAGTCTATTCACCCCTTTAGACTTTTACCTAATCTAACCGGGACCAACAATATTATTACTTATTAGGAAAAATATAATACTTTTGAATTATTACTTTAAAAAAAAAATATTAACGGTTCGTTGAGAAGTATTGCCTTATCATTGAATTACTTTTTACTTAAAAAGTATTACATGTTTGATGAAATTAAAATATTATTTTTTTACTGATTTTTTCTCTGTAAGTATTACTTTTTCTTTAAAAAGTATTTAGTTTTTAATTGAAAATATTTCATTTTTTACTAAAATGTAAGGAGGAGTATTAGTTTTCGATTGAAAAATATTATATTTTCAATGAAAATTAAAGTATTACTTTTTTCTTGAAAATTATCATATTTTCAATAAAAAGTATTAAATTTCCACTTTGGAAACCGAAGGGGAAGATGGATCTCATCGCAATAGACAATGGTTATTTCATTGTGAGATTCGGGGCTGTCGAAGATCTAGAATTCGCCATGTTCGAAGGACCGTGGATGGTCTTGGATCACTACCTGATCGTGAAGCCTTGGGTTCCCGACTTCGACCCCTTCTCGAATGTAACAGAGAAAGTCCTGGTATGGATCAGAATACCATGTTTACCTGCAGAATATTACAGTCTTATTTTTCTCAGGAAGCTTGGGAATAAAGTGGGACGGACTCTTCGAGTGGATCGCGCTACGAGTTCAGTTTCACGTGGAATGTTTGCACGCATCTGCGTCGAAGTTGATATAACGAAACCCCTTATTTCAAAGTTTAATTATAAAGGTTGTGTTAGATTTGTAGCGTATGAAGCAATTCATATGGTGTGTTTCTCTTGCGGCATATACGGACATGAGTCTGACGTTTGCCCGAAGATGGCCAGACCCGAGGATGGCCGGAGGGATGAAGGTAAAGACGAGGACCGTGGGCAGCCTGCAGCAGGGAAGCGGAGTGTTATTGTTGGAGCAGCGCCGTTCGGAGAATGGATGATCGCGCCGGGGCGCCGGGCACAAGCTGGGGGCAGGCAAATTGTAAGACCATCCCGGCCGGCGGGAGAGAAGGGCCCAACCGAGAATAATAGCAAAGTACAGACATCGCGGTTTGAACTTTTGGCACCGATAGAGGATGGATTTGGCGAGGGAGACATGGCGGCTATGTCAGGAAAAAATGGTGATGAGGAGGTGGGACGACAGGCAGAGGTTGTGGAAGTTCCGGCAAGAGGGAAACAAGGAGGTGTGGCGGCGGGCAACAGTATAAGGCGACCGAATGTGGTAGTAGTTGAACAACAGATATTGAACGCACCTCCCGGGACATCAAGAACACCTACGGCAAGAAGGGATAACGTACCAAGAGCCCGAGGGGGAGGAAGAGTAGGACTAAGGCGTGCAGCCGAAGAAGATGAGCATGTAGTTGTGCGGGGTGAGCAAGGCGGGTTGGTGATCCATTCGTCAAAGGTGTTCGGTGGGGACGAGGCAGGCGATCTCCCATCGCCAGTCTGGCAACTCACAAAGGAACACCATAATGACCCGCCAGGGCACATTGACGATGAAGGTGACGTGGTTATGGATTTGGAAGGAATCCCGGGGTTAGGTGATAGTGATGGGGCCACTTTTGGCCACTGAGGTTTTGTTTCTCTTGCCTTGTTTACTTTGGTTTTTGTGCGTTTTTGCTTCCCTTTTTCTCACCTTTTTTATGGATTGTTTGATATGGAATTGCCAAGGGGCGAGCGGAAGGCCGTTCCGCCGTGCCCTTAAGCACTTATTACAGGTCTACAAGCCCAATATCCTGGGTCTTTTTGAACCAAAAGTTTCTGGAGATCAGGCTAACAAAATCTGCTCACAGCTCGGGTTTTCGGACTGGATCCGAGTGGAGGCCGTTGGCTTTAGTGGGGGCATTTGGGTTCTTTGGAAGGACCCGGTGCACATCTCTGTCCTTTTCACTCATTCGCAGTTTATTTTGGTGCAAGTTTCTCAAAGCGGGCAACCACCATGGGTGTTTGCGGCAGTTTATGGAAGCCCGACCCACCACCTCCGCCGCAGACTCTGGCGGGACCTATCTCAGTCTAAACGCGGCCCACAAGGCCCTTGGCTTTTAACCGGGGACTTCAACTCAGTCATCAACAAGGAAGAAACGACTAACTACAGTTCGTTCTCTACCCAAAAGAGCTCGGATTTTGTCAACTGGATCCAAGACGAAGGTCTCATTGACTTGGGATTTTCGGGGCCCAGGTTGACGTGGGTCAAGAATGGACCGACGGATGCTACAAAGGGGGCTCAGCTTGACCGGGCCTTGTGTAATATTGACTGGCGAGTTAGGTTCCCGGATGCTGAAGTAGAGCATTTGCCTAGGGTTGCTTCGGACCATGCCCCGCTCTTGCTTCGGCTACACGAGAGCCGAAGGGGTAATCCCACTAACCTTTTCCATTTCATTTTCAGGCTGCTTGGCTTACTCACCAGGACTTGACGAAGGTTGTTCAGAGGATGTGGAACACGGATCGGGATTTGGCCGGCAACGTTCAGAGGGTTGCTCATGGCCTTTCTGAATGGAATAAAGAGGTGTTTGGGAATATCTTCAAAAGGAAGAAAGTTCTGCTTTCCAGGCTTGGAGGAATCCAACGGATTCTAGCTAATAAGTATCATAGAGGTCTATGTAAGCTCGAACAGAAGCTACAAGTTGAGCTGGAGGACACCTTGTATCAAGAGGAGCTGCTATGGTTCCAAAGATCAAGGGAAGATTGGATAACGTCAGGGGACAAAAACACCGCTTATTACCACGCGGCTGCAACTGTCCGTCAGTCACGCACAAAGGTAACAAAGTTCATAGACAAGAATGGGAACTGGCTCACTGAGGGCGAAGGGCTTCGAGAACATGTTAGGAACTTTTATGCTGCTCTGTTCACCGAAGACACGGAGGCGACAGGTGTGCTTGATTTTGAAGCACGTTTCCCTAGGATTAGGCGCATAGACAAACGGGTGTTTAATAGGGAGGTCACAAAAGAGGAAGTGCAGAAGGCTATCTTTGACATGAAACCGTTCAAAGCCCCGGGCCCGGATGGCTTACCGGCGGGCTTCTATCAGCATACGTGGGAAGTAACTGGAGATAGCATTTTCAATTTGGTCAGAAGTGTTTTCAGATCTGGTGAGATCCCGGAAGGTTTGAATGATACGCTTGTCGCGCTAATTCCAAAAGTCTGGTTCCCCGACACGATTAAACAGTTTCGGCCTATCAGCCTTTGCAATGTAAGTTATAAAATCCTGACCAAGACAATTACTAACAGGTTAAAGTGTATCTTGCCTCAGGTTATAGGACTGCACCAAAGTTCCTTCGTCCCAGAAAGACAGATTACGGACAACGTGATTGTGTACCAGGAAGTTATGCACACCATGCGGGAAGCTCGTGGAAAGCAAAGATACATGGCCATTAAACTGGACCTGGAAAAAGCCTACGACAGGCTGTCGTGGGATTTCATCAAGGACACTATGGTACAGGCAGGTTTTAATGATAGTTGGGTTAAAATTATTATGTCTTGCGTTTCAACTTCCAAGTTAGCAATCATTTGGAATGGGGAAAGACTAGAATATTTCAGGCCCGAACGAGGTATTCGTCAGGGAGACGCCATGTCTCCAGCTATCTTCGTCTTGTGTATGGAATGGCTCAGTCAGTTAATCCTGTCCGAGGTCACTAAAAGAAATTGGAAATGAATCAAATTGGCTCCAGACGGGCCAATCTTGTCTCATTTATGCTTCGCCGATGATATGGTACTTTTCACTGAGGCATCGGTGGCTCAGGTGGATATTGTGCAAAGCTGTCTGGATTCCTTTTGTAAGGTCTCTGGGCAGAGAATCAGTCTCAGTAAGTCACAGGTCCATTTTTCAAGAAACACGCCCCCATAAGTGGCTACAGCGATTGCGGGCAAGTTGGGTATAGCTGCAACAACAGACTTGGGAAGGTACTTAGGAGTGCCATCCATCCATGGTCGGGTGACTTGCAATACTTATGCTGGCCTTTTGGAACGCATTGCGCATAGGTTGGAAGGGTGGAAGGCCAAAACTCTGTCGCTTGCTGGGAGAGTCACATTAGCGAAATCTGTTCTGAACGCTATCCCGGTTTACACCATGCAGACCGCAGCACTCCCGAAAGGAATTTGCGATGAAATTGAAAAAAGGACCAGACGCTTTATATGGGGTAGAAATGAGCTAACAGGGGAAAATAAAATGAGTCCAGTAAGTTGGGATTTGGTTACAACGGGAAGGGCGAATGGTGGCCTCGGTCTAAGGAAACTACATGAGATGAACATTGCGTGCATGACCAAACTCTGCTGGAGATTCAGGACGGAATCAAAGGCTCTATGGGCAACCACCCTAGCGATGAAATACAAATGCCAGACTGGTGCTCGAATGGACATTTCTAGCAGACGGACTTCATCAAATGTATGGAGAGGTATGTGCACTGCGAGTGAATGGCTGGAAAAGGGTATCATGGGTATGGTACGTAATGGCGAGAGCACCCGCTTCTGGATGGATAAATGGCTCTATCCATACTCTTTGTACGAGAAACTTCTTCGACCGCTCAGTCTTCCCGAGTTGTACGCAAATGTTGACGAATATTGGGACAAGGCCAGAGGTTGGAAGTGGGAAAATTTGGAACAAAATTTGCCTCGGGAGGAATTAGAAACACTTGCAGGCTTCGAATTGGTGAGGGAAGACGTGTGCGACGAATGGGGTTGGAGCCCGGATGCCCATGGAAGATTCTCGGTGAAATCTGCGTATGGGTTGATAACCGGAGGTCATGCTATAGCGATATAGACAAGTTTTGGAAGTTGATTTGGAAGTTGCGGGTGCCGGCCAGAGTCTCTATGTTCCTCTGGCTAGTGCGACATGAGAGGATCTTTACGAATGCAGAGTGTGAAAGGCGCCATCTGACTTCTGATGCATGTTGTTTTCGTTGTGCAGGACAAAGGGAAGACCTAAATCATTTGTTTCGGAGATGTGTGGCGACCAGAAACATCTGGGAGGCGGCTTTGCATTGGAGAACGATCGAGAAGCTGCGTAGGTTGGACTGGGCAGAATGGCTCGAGAAAAATCTACATAGAGATGCTAAAAATGGCTTTTCGGAGGGTTGGCCTGAGCGTTTCGCATGCAGGTTATGGTGGCTGTGGAGGTGGCGGAATGACGAGCTTTTCAATGGGAACCTTATGCCTCTAGACCAAAAGATCACTTGGCTCCGGAAGTATGACAATGAAGTGGCAGGGGCCTTCAAGAAAAAATGGAAACCTATGAACAAACCGCCCTTTGCCGTTACCACTTCGGTGGCGTGGAAGAGACGTTGAGGGGCTGGCTGAAGCTTAATGTTGATGGGTGCTGCAAACAAAGAGGCTTAGCGAGCTGTGGTGGTGTGCTTCGGGATGAGGATGGCAGGTGGTGTCGGGGTTTCTCCTACAAAATTGGAAGGTGTTCTGTTGAAGCTGCTGAGGCATGGGGAGTTCTCCAGGGGCTACGAATGGCGAAAAATTTTGGCGCCACGAGGATAATTCTCGAATGTAGGGATGGCAACGGGGCGGGGGCGGGGGCGGGGAGTATACTCCCCGTCCCCGTCCCCGCGGGGAATTAGACGGGGTCGGGGATTCCCCATTCCCCGTCAACTCCTACTCAAAATGTTAAATAATTTTAATTTTTAATAATAAAAAATTAAAATTTAAGTACTAGTTTCAAAAATTAAAATACTAACTATATATATATACACACACACACACACTAATAGTATACTATATATATGTGTGTAATGAAATATATATATATATATATATATATATATATATATATATATATATATATATATATATATATATATATATATATATGTTTTATAATTAATATTAACACAGTATATATATTCTATACTAAAGTATACTAATATATTGTTAGTGTATATATATATATATATATATATATATATATATATATATATATATATATATATATATATATATATATATATATATATATATATATATATATATATATATATATATAATAATTATCCGGGGACGGGGCCCTCCATATATAATAATTATCCGGGGACGGGGCGGGGAGGGGAGGGGTATCCCTGTCCCCTGCGGGGATTCACACATATTCCCCGTCCCCGTTCCTGTTCCCCGAAAATATATATATAATAATTATCCGGGGACGGGGCCCTCCATATATAATAATTATCCGGGGACGGGGCGGGGAGGGGAGGGGTATCCCTGTCCCCTGCGGGGATTCACACATATTCCCCGTCCCCGTTCCTGTTCCCCGAAAATTTTCCCCATCCCCGTCTCTTTCGGGGCGGGGATCGGGGACGGGGCACATTGCCATCCCTACTCGAATGCGATTCTAAGAACGTAGTGGAATGTTTGCGCAAGGAAGGCGGATGGAAGGACCAAAATCACAACATTGGCTGGCTGTGCATACAAGAAGCGGCTAGTTTTTTGGAAGTACATTATGAGCATATTTACAGAGAGCAGAACAAGGTGGCTGACAAGATGGCATCGCAGGATGTAATGAACGAGAGAGGGCTTCGTCTTTTCTCATCACCTCTGCCAGAGTTAATGGAGCTGGTGGCTCTGGATCAGATCGGTGCTTCCTCTCCACGCAAAATTATTGAGTCATCAAGGGATGTCAGGACGTTTTGAGTAGGGCGCTTTGAGTAGTTGTTTTGGGTATCCCCCTCATCTCAGACAAAAATTAAATTTCCACTTTATTACTTCTCCTTTAGAAACCATTAACTGTTTGTTGAAAGTATTACATTACTATTCATTGAACAAAGTATTACATATTTACATATTCATTGCAAAGTATTACATTAATCTTGAAAAATGTAATATTTTTCTTTGTAAAGTATTACATGTTTGGTATAAAATATTAAATTATTTGTTGAAAAATATTGCGATTTTATTGAATTGTATTACATGTTTATATGTATTGTCTTAAATTGAAAAGTAACACATTTTTTTTAAGAAATATTACATGTTTATTGAGAAGTATTATATTCACTTTTATATAAAAGTGATATAAAATAAAATACATTACCAGTATTAACTTTTTTTTTTTTTTTGTATAAATTGGTAGGTATTAGTTTTTGTTATCAAAGTAATAAGCATTATTTTAAACAATTACTTTCGATTTAAAATCTTTCATCAAGAATTTGCTATAAAAATATTTTGTAGCAAAAGGCCATAAGCTAGTTGGTTAGTTAATTTGACCCTCATGCAATGCATTTAGGGAATTATGTGGGAAAGAAATTGTAATTCCATGGGAGTTGAATTACTGGGAATAAAGTGGGAATTTAAATTCCAGTATTTGGTTGACAGGAATAGAATTACTGGAAATTTCAATTCTAATGTTTGGTATACATGGGAATTGAAAGGGAATAAGTAGTATAAAGTTAAAAATGTCCATTATTGTTGTTAGACATTAATTTTAAGTTAAAAAATGGAAGGGGTAATGTTGACTCATCACTATCTTTTTTTCCCAGGAATTAAAATACCAGGGGGGACATGAGATTTTAATTCCATGAAAATGGGGGAATTGCAATTCCATGGAATTGTAATTCCCTCCAACCAAACTACGGAATTTAATGATTTTTGGAATTAGGTGGGAATTAAGTGGGAAGAGAATTTAAAATCGGGTTCGAAAAAGTACTACATTACTCCTATTCTATACTCCTAACTTTTACTCCCACATTTAAAATATTGATGTAGACACTTTTAAGAGATCCACATGAAAAAAATGACCTATCAAAGCCCGCCACATCATGGAGTAAATTGAATGGGGTAAGATTTGGAAGTCCGTACAAATTCAAACAAATCTCTCATTCACCTACACACAATATTCAATCCTTGTGACAAAAAAGTGGAATCCCGCACCTCAAAACGCCCCACACCCCGACCCGACAGCATACAATCCTTAATCACTTGATTTCAATATCTCCCTCGTTACCAACCATTTGAGCCTCTTGATCAGTTTCAGTGTTGCTTCTTTTGTCTTTAAAAGATTTCTGGCTAAAAATCCTAACAAACATGCTCTTCGACCTGCGGATATTTTGGCCCTCGGCTTCACATTTTCTGCTCTCACCATTCTTCTTGGCTAGCTCGTCTAACACGCTCTTCATGCTGCTATCAAACCGCCGCCTAAACGTTGGGAATCTCGATAGAGATTTGGTTATCCCTCTAAGCCTTCGTGAACAAACATAGGAACGAAAACCATTCAGTTCATATCACGATACTAAATCATAATCGACAGAGTTCAATGATATGTTTCTAAAGGTTTTAGCATTCACCTTCGAGCTAATGCCTCGAGCTCAGCTCGTCTTAGCTCAGATTCAGGAGGCGAGCCAATATTCGAGTTATTCAGGCTCTCAGGATCACCGCCCAACAGAACCAATCTACCGAGGTATTTCTCTTCAGATTCAGAGAGGTTATCAGCCTTGATCTGCTCTTTCAGGATCAACAGTGGATTGAAAAACCAATCATATAGGGAATCTTTAGGCCTGTTTGTGCTAGTTATTTCGGTATTATCATCTGTAGATGGGATGGAGGAAGAAGCCGTGTAAACAATTCATTTATCACTGCTTCCACAATATGATATCAAGCTCACATAACCGATTCATTTATCACCACTTCAGCAATAATATATCAAAGGAGTTAATAACTAATTTAGTCCTAAATGTCTTTTTGTGCTTAATTGGGTCTCGACGTCGATGGTTTTACCCAATTGAGTCATCGACTGTTAGAATCAAGGACTAAATCGAGAAAAATCACTATATTCGAGGACAAAATTGGGTAAAACCACTATACTCGAAGACTAACTTGGGTAAAACTAGTATAGTCGAGGACAAAATTGGGTATTAATAGAGATGAAATTACCAAACTATCTTAACAGATGACTCAATTAGATAAAATCATCAAAGTTGAAGACCTAATTAAACACAAAAAAGTTGTTAGGACTAAATCGAGAAAAACTACTATAGTCGAGGACTAAATTGGATATTAACTCATATATCAAACCAGTTAATAACTTAATACCCAATTTAGTCCTCGATTGTAGTGGTTTTCTCGATTTAGTCTTAAATGTCTTTTTGTGCTTAATTGGGTCCTTAATTTTGATGGTTTTCCCTAAATGAGTGCTCTGTAACTGTAGCTCGGTAATTTCCCCTCTATTAACACCCACTTTAGTCTTCGACTACAACGGTTTTACCCAAAATAATCCTCGACTATAGTAGTTAATATCCAATTTAGTCTTTGGCTATAGTGGTTTCTTTTCGATTTAGTGGCAAAAGTCGAGGACCCAACAAAAAGACGATTAGGACTACATCGAGAAAAACTACTATAGTCGATGACTAAATTGGGTATAAACTCTATATCAAAGTATATAATCGAACTAGATGCATGTGTTACTTACTTAATAGCAGACCAGCAGAGTTGGCTTTGGCAGAACGTAGAAGCACCTGGAGGAAACAATATGCTGGTAGACCGATACTTATGGTCTTGCCATTATCTCGACTAGACTTGGCATCTTCAAAATCTTTTCGTGTTATAACACCTTCAGATGCCAAGATTTCACCATTACACCGACACGCCTCGAAAAAGGCATCAGCAAGCTACAAGAGTAATGTATTATTAGGGTTCCATTATTTCTACAATAAAACATGACTTTCGTTATAGTTTCAACTTTCAAAGAAAAGTTTTTCTCCATAAAGCTATTTGATAATCAACAGCATACCTCACGGGAGTCACGGGCTTTCAATTCAATCATAGAGGCGTTCATGGAGTTTGAGCGATTGGGTGGGTTTCCGAGAGAATCAGATTTCGAGAAAGAACCTGCATGGGAGTTGGTTCTTGAAGTAGTCTCCGCTCTGTATGTTGGCCTGTATAGATCTCCCAAATTCAGGCAATGTCAAAGTTTATTATACCAATAAAATACATGGTTCAAAGCTTAATTGAAACATCATCCAAGATTTAGAACCTGGGAAAACAGGATCCTTCACGCATGTCAAGAATATCATTGCTATATTCATCGTATATGGATATCGAGGCAACAATATAGCATATCCCATACCAGAAAGAGCTCTCCTGTTCAAAGGAAAAGGAAAAAATTATCACAATTAAGAAAACATGTGCATAGATTGTTGGGCGGATCGGAGGCCAGTAAAGGGCCAAGTCCAACAATTGGTGGCTGGGGGATTATTGGGCGGAGGCCAGTGAAGAGCCAAGTCCAGCACCCTGCCACTCGAAAATGTGGTGGCAGTATATAAGAAAATAAAGTTGCGTCTTTGCTGTGAGCTATAGCTTTTGGCATAGTGGTAAGCGTTTAATCCTAACAAATGGTATCAAAGCCAGGTCATGGGCCAAATCAACCATACCTGGTATAGAATAACTCCTGCATAGGCACCAAGGAAGATACTCGATACAATGGAGCCTAAGAATGCACCAACAACAGCCAATGGCCAAAGCAGGATGGCAAGACCAGCAAATGGCACACAGATTGTCTCCAAGAAAGGTCCCTCCCGGCCTATACAATCGTGAAACAAGCGATACCATCCCTTGATAAGCATATAAGGACTTTTATAGGCAGCTATCACAGTGATCACTAGCATATCGACCATGGAACCTAGCAAGCCACAAAATAGTGCTACAGGAAGGTAAAGCAACCTGCAATATTATACGGCACTCAAGTCAAAGCCCTAACTCTACCACAAAAGCTAGCTCATGAGTGATTGCCGGACGTCAGCTTACACTCCGGACTCTTCCCGGCTTTGCCGGACGTCGGCTTACACTCCGGACTCCTTCCCGGCTTTGCCGGACGTCGGCTTACACTCCGGACTCTTCCCGGCACCAGGTAGCCCTTTTCCCCTTTGGATGGCTTCACTCTGGACCTTATCAAACACCGGGTAACCCTCTTCCAGGTAGCCCTTTACCACCACACTCCGACCTCTCAATGAAAGTACCAAATGTTATGGCACTCAAGCCAAGGCCTTAACTCCACCACAAAAGCTAGCTCATGAGTGGAGATTTGCCCCATCTTAAGTACCACTCCACAATCTCTTGGAGCCGATGTGGGATCGTATCAGTTGCATTCCAAAGAAAGCTGGGAATCAAAATGCTCTCATCCTCCTTTTTTTGCACAAAGAAAATACATGTACTATGCTTTTGTACTCAAGTTCTTTCTAAGGTGTCAAACAAAACTCCCGATTTCATGTAGAAGAGTTTCACATAGGACTGAATTGAAACAGCAAAGAAATTTCCCCAAAAAGCCAAAACAGAAAGGATGAATGAAAACCTGATCTCGTAATATTTTCCAGTTGAAGACTTTTGAATTCGTAGATCATCCATTACTGAGAAGTAGGAATGGTAACAAATGTCCCCTACATCTCTAACTATAGTACAGCTCCCTTTGACTGTATCCCAAGTTCCATCCTATATGCAGAACTCATCATCTAAGATTAGCCAAAGTAAAGATAATAAAATGACTGGAAATGTATGCATATAACAGGGTTTAGAAGACGGTTTTCGAAACATACATAAATGCAGTGGTAAAGTTTATTAGCCTTTCCTAGGTCAATAGCTTGAAAAGTGGCAAGCATGGGTGAAAGAAAACCATATGCCGCCCCCCCAACAATGCTGCTGGCAATTGCAATCGGTAACCACAAAAATAAAATGATAGGAAGACAGATGCAAGAGACGAGTTTCAAAACTGGGCCTATTAGTTTTGCGCTGCAAAAGACAAAAAAAAATGGCCATTAAAAGTATAACAAATAAACTGAGGCTGGCATGAAGTGAAATGGATGAAGAGGGCACCTAAGGACACAGTAAAATGAGTAGAACACGTGAACTGGCCAAAGTCCCAATACTATAGCAGAGTTCCCAACTGTAACTATAACAAGTATAAATGGGCACAAAATGACACCTGAAAAATGAAAGCATAAGACAAATTTTGTCAACATTAATATAGAATTGCATCGAATCTCTAGGCCACCAGCTGAGAGACTTCATAATATACAATATAGTTGTAGTTTGGTGTGCAGTTGAGTGGCCTATTTGACCCTTATTCCTATAATAGATGCAATTTTGGTTACTGGATCAGTGGCAAATACAATCTTGAATTTAAGAATCTTTTGGTATATTGGAGTAAATACGTTAAGATACCATGGTACCTGGTGAAGAAATTTCGTAAGGAAAGCTCTAGAAATAAGTAATTATACATCAAAACAATTAGAAGATGGAGAAAAGAAAGTAAAATGGCAGCTACGATAGTGATGGAAGACACGTAAGCTCTCCTCTGAACCATTATTTCCACAAAATAACAAATGCAAGATTGTTGCTGAAATAATAACCCAAAATACCACATATCTATTCCTAACTGAAATACATTCGACAGCCTGATGTTAGTCTCCAGAATTCACTATGATTAAAGAAAGGGCAATCTTTGAGCATTGAGAGACCATGTAGTTCCCCCTCTCAGAATTATCATTGCATTCTACCAAGGAAGCATAATTTAGATTAAAGCAATTGCGAAGTTTGGAGCTCATTGGCATTTTGGAAAATCTCCAAAAAAGGTTGGGTATAGATAGGTACCAACACAAAAGGAGCTTCACTTTATTTTGGATATTGTTAGGATTAAGCGCTTACCGCTACACTAAAAACTAAAGCTAGTAGTGAAGACACAACTTTATTTCCTTATACCGTCATATTACCACATTTTCTTTCCAAAAGGCTGAACCCCAACCCCTAAGGGCACCCCACACCTCGGCCCAACAAAGCATCTAGGAGGATGTAAATCATGGTAACTCAACTGAACATTTGAGACCTTTGCTTACTGCGCACAAGGAGACCCCTTACTTTGAGAGGTTGCTCCCACACAGCCGCTAGTGAGACTCGATCCCTGGTCATTCTTATTTTCACCTCTATGACTAGTTGAGCTGCCCATGCAGGCTCATATTGCCACATTTTCGAAAGGTAGGGTGCCGAACTTAGCCTTTCAGGCCTCCGCCCAACGATCCCCTAGCCACCCGGGGCTGGACTTGGCCCTTCAGCGGACTGATATTGCCATAGCTGTATTGCAAACTTAATTATCAATAAGGTTTCTGTTGGGACTAACTGAAATTCCAAACATCCCATTGCCATATATTTAGAAAGTGTTAATATGTGAACTCTGGAAAAAATAAAAATGGAGCAACCAAAAGGTAAAATCTGAGGATAAAATTTGCAGAAGAATAAACTCCGGAAATATCATGTTTCTGAATATGAATACCAAAATAGCAAAATAGTGAGTATAGCAGGGATGGAAAGATGCCTTTTATGGTGCCAAGGATGAGAAGGCCAATGAAGTAAGGCAAGAAACGGATGAAGTTCCATAGAGATGCCAGAAACCCCCTTGGGGGTTCCATTACTGTATGTATAATCACCCACCAAACAAGATCTTCTCTCCTATTGCTTCATACCCATCTCTCTTAAAAAACCTCAGCAAAATCCCAGCTTTCTACTCGCCTTTCTATTATTCTTGAAACTCGTTATAAAAATGGAAAGCAACCTGAAAACAGTTAATAAACTGCAGGGGCAACACAAATTTGCCTTTGGAGATGCAAAGGAGAAAGCAATTAAACTGCAGAGCGTAAGTTTACAAGCAAGGAATTTTATCTTTTCTTTGTTTGAAAATAGTTCATTTTTTTTAAACCTTGAGAAAATATTCTTTAAACCTCCAAAAACAATGCAGGCAGGCTTCGTATATAGATAATTAGACGCTATTTTTTTTTGGTGGACGATGAAAACGTGCACGGCTAAATTATCTTAAGTTGTCCATAGTTGATCGATTCAAATTAAGAATGTTGTGATTTGAACGCGTAACTTTGTGATTACAAGTTTGTATTTTAAGTCATCTTGGTTGAGTTTATTCTAGGCGTTCAATCTTTTGATTCACCCGGAATTATTATTGAAATGTGCGCTTTTAAAATTCATTTTGTAACTTTAATCGATATAAATCAATTTAAATTGTTCATAATTGATTAATTTCGTTTAGAAAAGTTAATAATCCATTTTTAGAGAGATTTAAATTTAAAACTTATTATTAAACTAATTGTTTGATTAATTTAAGTGGTTGCCCCAATTAGATGTATGTATCTTAACAGCTATGCAGTATGCTTAGGAATATTAAAAGAAAGGAAAAAAAAAAAAAACAGAAACTTGTGGAGTTGGTATGCACTCAGCATCCACTCAGTAAAATTGATCCAAAACGTGTCAAATGCTTCATTTGCTTCATTTTCTATTATTATGTGGCGTAATAATTACATTTCATTTTTTTTAAAAAAAAAAAAAAAGTGACAACCGATATTGTACTAATAAATATTTAATCAAAATACAGGTATAAATTATATGATGTAGGTAGGGCTCTTAATAAATCAAACGTGAACTAATGGAAGTTGTTCGTGTTCCTATTTTAAGATTTTTAGAGTGTTCATATCTATGCTCGTTTGTTGAAGTTTTAAAAAAATTATGTTCGTGTTCGTTTGTTAAGTGTTTATTAGTGTTTGTTAATGTTCGCAAACATATTCACGCTTAATAACCAAACACATGCTCATATTCATTATCACAATTCGTTTGTGAACAAAAAATAATTTATATTCACAAACAGCACAACAACTATTAATATATATATCAGAATCTCACTGAACACGAACATAAATAGAAAGCTCTATTCGCTAACATCCCTAAATATAGGTATCTTCAATTTAATAATGAATTTTATCTAAAATGAATAAAATCAATCTTAATACATAATTCTAGTAATCTAATAAGTAAACATGTAATCAAATCGAGAAAAAAAAATAACAAAATTATTTATACAATATGAATTTACTTTGTTTAGTAGAGTATAAAATATACAAGAATAGGTTTGATAATTTTGAGGCATTGGAAAATGAAAACCCTAAATATAATAATAATAAAATGAACTCGAAGAAAACGAGAGGAAATGAATTTATAAAATATTACCAAGGAACTTTTAAAATTTGTGTAAAAATATACAAATTTTAATCCTAAATGATATTATTTTTGTAATTAACATAAATGGTGCTTTTAGTGATACAATTTTTTCACCCAATCAAAAATAATGTTGGTACTACATATATGATATATATAATATGTTAATTATATGTATATAAAATATTAATTGTATGTACAAATTTGTTAACTACATATTTATAAAATCAATAGCTAAGTTCATAATAAAAACTTGTTAATTTCAATCAAATATCACTTAAAATTATACAATAATTATAATTATTACATGTCAAACACTTAATTTATGAACTTTAAGCTTTAAGTTTATCTACCAATAGTTTACATACTATACACTTAGAACAATGTTAGAATGTGTACACAATCGTTAATTACAAATAATATCTTAATTGCATATACATAATATGTTAACTATATATTTATAAAATCAATACATTAATCCTATAATAAAAACTTGCTAATTCCAACCAAATATATCATAATATACATTATTCTAATTCATAAAATTCAACAACATCGTTTTGGGCTGTGATCCACACAACAATTTGCCCACATTATAAAGGTTAGTCCACGATATAATTTTCCTCATCAATATTGATAGGTCTTGTGTTTTGTGTCATCGAAAATTATGCCATGGACTCGGATCCACCTTGAATCAAAATATACAATTTATATACTGAATGTTCACAACTCAAATTGTAAACATTCAGTATGTAAATTATGAACATTTAGTATATAATATACTATTGTAAACATTTAATATGTAATTGTGAATATTTAGTATATATAAATTGTAAACATTCAGTATATATATTGTGTATTTTTAAACACGAATCCACCTTGCAATGTGGACCCGAATTCATTGAATACTTTGCCTTGTGTCATTGGCTTGGGTGAAGGTGGATCAGTGGATCCAGTGAAGCCTTAATGGGCTTAGAGTAAATCTCTTAGAAAGGAGGAAGGAATGGGCCTCATAGCCATTATACAATAGACTATGACCTATATTGTAAAGGCTCATTTTTGACACATTAAAAATTTATTTTTAATAAACATTTGTAATCTTTAAAAAAAAAAAAACATTTGCAATTAAAGATATACATTTTTTCTTAATAATATTGACTTTATTACAATGTAGCATATGTTCATACGAAACCTCTCATTTGAGGGGTCACAATTATGTCGCTCGACAACAAGGCCTTTGGCTATTTTTAATACATTAAAGGTTGCAAAGGGCAAATTATATTATGCACCGCGCGTCTTTTTTTTTTTTTTTAAATGAAAATAAACAGTGTTTGTTTCCGCCGCGCGTCATTTTGTATACACTGCAGTTTCAGTTCAACACAACTACAGTTTCATTTCGATATAACTATAGTTTCATTCGATATTTATAGACTCAAATATGTGAAAATGTTATTTAATTTTATTTTATATACACTATAATTTCATTAAAACACAACTACTTGATCATTTTGATATAATTACAGCTTCATTGTACAATATACACTCAAATATGTGAAATGTTATTCAGTTTCATTTTATATACACTGCAGTTTCATTTCACTATAACTACAGTATCATTTTGATATAACTGCAGTGTCGGTTTAGATATACTATAGTGTCAGTTGGTGTTTAATACACCAAACAAGCGGACTCCTTTAACTCTAACGGCGGGCCGTTTCTTTACTTAAAGAAACGGCACCGTTTTTTACCGCGGTGCACATGCACCGCGGTCTATAATATAATGACTGGTTGCAAAGTAATTTATGGTTCGATGAAAGATATTGGCATAATTATCATAGTAAGTAGATAGATTCATCATTTGTGTACTATTTGATATACTACCATAGACCACTCTCTTGGTCTTTGCAACGATACGCGCCTCATCGTTACAAGATTGGCGGATCATATTGGCGAAACAAGAATAGTTAATGGAACGCAGCAAGGAAACAAAGTTCTTATACCACAAATGTCTCTCACCCCTTCTGATACGAGATTGTCATTCAAGTTCCAGCGTAAACAATTCCCGTTGATGCTAGCATATGCAATGACTATCAACAAAAGTCTGGGTTAAACACTAACTCACGTTGGCTTATTGTTGAAAAAATCAATCTTTAATCACGGTCAATTGTACGTGACTTTTTCCCGAGTCACTCATCCTGATGGCCTTAAGGTTTTAGCTCTAGACGAGGATGGACAAACTTCTGTTAGTACTACTAATGTCGTCTACAAAGAGGTTTTCAACAATGTCTAATTCAAAACAGTTATATTATGTATACTTCTTGCACAAATATAACAAAATTGTTACATTTCTACATATTACGTATATATTCTGTTACAAAAATTTCTATAGCTAAATTACTACACATAAAGATAATGAGACCAATTAATTCAATTCCGAAACATTCATACAAACCTTCAACGTTAAAATTTGCACTATCGAATATGAAACAAATTATAATTCATATATTATAACGAATACATTCCGTGCATCGCACGAGTGCAAATACTAGTTAGTATATTAAAAAGAAAAAATTTGTTTTCAAAAAAATAAAAATAAAAATTTCACTTTTGGTCCTTTGACTATTGTACATGTATCAAATTTGGTCTTTGACTATTAATATTTTCAAATTAGGTGCATGACTATATAATTTGTATAACATTTAGTCCTTGACTACTAATATTTTCAAATTAGGTGCATGAATGTAATTTGTATCACATTTAGTCCTACCATTCAATTTTTCGACTAACTATTGCCTGAATTTCAACAAGAAAAATAATATGCTCTAATTAAAAGGGTATTTCTGGCTAACTATTGCCAAAAAAATTATTTTTCTCATTGAAATTTTGGCAATAGTTGACCCGAAACTTCGCCAGAAAATTGGATGGCATGACCAAATTTGATACAAATTACATAATCATGCACCTAATTTGAAAATATTAATAGTCAATGATCAAATGTGATACAAATTACATAGTCATGTACCTAATTTGAAAATATTAATAGTCAAGGATCAAATGTGATACAAATTACATAATCATGCATCTAGGGTCCGTTTGGAGAGCGAAAATGACTTCTGGAAAATGAGTCATTTTCTTTTCCTGTGTTTGGCTGCACAATGGAAAACTGTCTTTTGGTGTTTCTGAAAATGATGTAGAATTGTATAATTAAACATTTTATATAATTAATTATTTTGTTTAAAATATATAAAATTTACAATAATATTATGAATAATAATATTTATTTTTAAAATCAAATAATATTATTTATTAAGAAAGTCAAATGCTCTTGAAGTGAAGAAATGAAGAAGTCAACATCCGGAAAATGACTTTCCCTTTTTTAAAGGGGAAGTTGTTTTCCTTAAAAATAGGCTCATTTTCCATTGACCAGTACCTCATTTTCAGTTGACTTCAAATTTTCCTTCTTTCCAAACATTGGAAACCCGGAAAATGATTTCTGGAAATCATTTTCCGGGTTTCCAAACACACCCCTAATTTAAAATTATTGTAAGTGAAAAATAAATTGTGTAGAATATTAATTAGCAATATATTTGTCAAGTTAATTTTATAATTTAAGTTAGTATGTATGTATTGGTCTACATTAATATACTAGTCTTTTCTATGCGCGATGCGCAAAAACATATGCCCAATATTTAT